GCGCGCGTTTCCAAAACGTACCCGTTTCCTAATTTTTTTTAGAAAATTGTTACCACGTTTCCAAACGTTTTGTTTCCACGTATCCGTTTTCGTTTTCATGCAACATAGCTAATTATATAATAGATTCATGTAGAAGTCATTTGTGCATCCTTGATTACGTTAAAATTAATATGCTAAGTCCATCCTTCATTACGTTTCTGAAAGAGTGTAAATGGAACTCTAACGGTTCCTATACATACATGTTAGTTTGCATGTGGAGAGAGCAAAAAGCAGAGACCAGGATAAAATCACTCTTTATCTTTTCTCCTTCGTTTCTCTAATGGTGAACTTAAAGCTCCTTTACCATTTCTTCATTACTCACTTTTTCAAGCTCTTTCTGTTCCCATTTGTGTCGTTTTTATTCTTCCACAACCTCTGGTTCCATCTCCAACACAACCTTGTAACCCTAACCATTTTCTCAGTGGTTTTAGCTTTTGGTTCTGCCTTCTACTGCGTGGGCCGACCTAAGCCGGTTTACCTCGTTGACTACTCCTGCCATCTTCCTCCTCCGCATCTTAAGGCAACTATCCCAAGGATCATAGATGGTATCAACAAGGTACGAGAATCTAATCCATCATGGAACGAACTTCCTGAGGAGTCATCGTTGGACTTCTTGGTGAAGATTCTTGAGCGTTCTGGTCTCGGTGACGAGACTTACGTCCCCGAGGCTATTACAAGGGTCCCACCTCAACAGACCATGGCCGCTGCACGTGAGGAGACAGAACAAGTCATCTTCGATGCCATTAACAATCTCTTAGCCAACACCAAAGTCAACTCACACGCGATATCGGCATAATCATCGTGAACTCGAGCATGTTTAACCCGACTCCTTCGCTCTCAGCGATGGTAGTGAACAAGTACAAGCTTAGGAGCAACATCAAAAGCTTCAACCTTGGTGGGATGGGTTGTAGCGCAGGCATAATAGCCATCGATCTTGCTAAGGACTTGTTGCAAGTTCATAAGAACACTTATGCTCTTGTGGTGAGCACAGAGAATCTCAGCCGCAACATGTACATTGGGGATAACAGATCTATGCTTGTCACCAACTGCTTGTTCCGTGTTGGTGGAGCAGCGATCTTGCTCTCCAACAAGTCCAAAGACCGAAGGCGTTCCAAGTACAAGCTGGTTCATACGGTACGGACACATACCGGAGCTGATGACAAATCTTTTAGATGTGTGCAGCAAGAAGATGATGTTAAGGGCAAAACAGGAGTCTCTTTAACCAAAGATATAACCTCTGTTGCGTCAAGAACCATTACCAAAAACATTGCCACTTTGGGTCCGTTGGTTCTTCCCGTGAGCGAAAAGTTTCTTTTTCTCAAAACTTATATCCACAAGAAATTCTTTGACGACAGGATTAAGCATTACGTCTCGGATTTTAAGCGTGCCATTGATCATTTTTGTATCCACGCTGGTGGGAGAGCTTTGATCGATGAGCTTGAGAAGAACTTGGGGCTATCACCAATAGACGTGGAGCCGTCGAGATCAACTTTGCATAGGTTTGGTAATACTTCTGCGAGCTCTGTTTGGTATGAGTTGGCTTACACGGAGGCTAAAGGGAGGATGAAGAAAGGTAACAAAGCTTGGCAGATTGCTTTAGGGTCAGGGTTTAAGTGTAACAGTGCGGTTTGGTTGGCTCTACGCAATGTCGAACCTTCGGTTAATAGTCGGTGGGAACATTGCATTGCCAAATACCCGGTTAAGCTTGATCTCTGATTGTCCTAAGGTTAATAAGGCTGATCTTCAATATGCATGATCGGTCCAAATTTATGTATCAATACTCTACTTTTATCTTTCGTTATGATTATGTTTGCTCTCGTTCGTTACTATAATATAAGAGTTCGTTAGTGTTTATTGGTCTTGTGCATACTCTTGAGCATGTAATGCTACGACCACAAGTCTTTTTAAGGATAATAGTAGTAAGACCAAGGAATCACACTCGTCAGAAATCAAATCCACGAGAAGAAATGCAGAAATGTTTTGTGAAACTGCTAATAGCTTTCGATGATTAATCTGAGTGACAAACTTTTCGATACCAGAGAGATCTATCTAAAATATGATTTCTCTCAGGAGCTGCGAAACAGCTCAAGCGTATTTTAATGCAGATTATCAAAGAGCTGAGATATATGGACCAATCATAAACCAGAAACTACTAACTTCCTCACAAACCTTCATATGCTTTTTCAGTCTGCTCGAGAGCTGCTGCTGCTACCATAAGCCTTCTTCCCTCCATATTTCTGTTCAATACGAGTAATACAAAAAATCAACTTCGAAGCCATTAATGTTTATAACCAGAGGAGCTTCGATTTGGATTAGTTTATGAGGATGCGCAACTTACTTGTTTTCCTAGACTGAAGGGGATGTATTTGTACTTGATCATGTGTGCGATTTGGCGCCTCATTGTAAGAACAAACAGAACGATCCAGTAGCAGAGAAGTATTGGCCAAAAGACTGGGATGTCGAAGAAAGAAAAGAATGTCATCACAAACGCAATGAAGAACGCCTTAGTCATGGAGTACCTGGCAACACAAAAGGATACGCAGATGTGAGATATCAGAGGAAAATAACTGATACTGTCAGCTTGACATGGAAGGGTTACCAAACTTCAGCATATAAGTCACTGCTAATACTCTTCACTAAAAACAGACTTATATATGTCTATGAGCTAACAGGCACTGCTTTATTCTAGTCTCATGCAAACATACTCTAAATGTCTCACACATGGTTTGATTTATCATGATTCATCATTCTTGATGTTCAACTGGAAAATCCTTTGAAACCACGCGTGAAACAGGACAGACATAATGACACAACAGCATATATTCCGTGTATAACATGCTTTACCAGTCATTAGAGCTCAGCAGATATTAGCATATAAACAGAGATTTTACTGTAAAATTACCAGAACTTGAACTCTGGAAGTCGACGGATGAATGGCTTGAACTCATCTGAACCTTTTGTGGGTAGCATAGGACCATCGGAAGTTTCAAGCTCAGGATCAACCAGTGGCGACAAAAACCCAATCAGCAAGTTCAGAACATAGATCCCCAGAGCATAAGAAATGATATAGAACCCTTGAACATAGTAAACCCTCAAACAGTATATTCCTGCCATCACAAGAGTCCCGATCCACCTATTAACTGCGTGAGGCGTAGTTTTGTCTAAGTAATACTGATACAGCCTCCATGCCTCATTCGCACGTTGCTGTACAGGTGATGCCATTGTAGCAGTGTCGCCTCCAACTCCCTCCATCGAATCTACAAACTCACAAGATAATCATATCAACTAAATGATTCAAGAATCTCTCTACATGTCTATACAAACATCTACATCGTTTTAACATACAAGCATCAGTCCAATAAAATCACCCAAACATTCAAACTCAAATATGTGTTCTTATATACAGACTTTTCCATCAAATTGTAACAAAATCAGTGAGCAATGAACAATCATTAAAGCTTGGACCAAATAAGACCAGAACAGACTTGAATCGACTCACTGACCACTAATTTTACAGTAACTAAGCGAAAATTCGAGCATCGATGATTGGAAACTGGAAGCTAAACTCAAGTAAGGTGAACATTCCGAAAATCAGATCTCGAAATCAGAACTCCATAGTCAGGAATACATAATGAAACGAAGTCCACATCCGGAAGAAACGGAAACACTAACACAACCCAGCACATACGAACATTATCGATCAAACCACAAGGAAGCGTGGAGATGACTACGAGCAACAAAACGAAACGAAAGCGAGAAAAGGAGAAGAGGAGAAACTGACGTGCGCAAAACTTAGGATTTCTTCAAGCGAAGGAGACTGCGATGATTCCTGAAGCGAGGAGGAGATCTATCTGAAGAAGAAGCGAGCAAGGAAGAAGCGAGGAGGAAACAACTTGATGTAATATGTGGACTTAGATTTTTTCTAGCCAAGTTCGATTTATTTATATTCACGGCCAAGGGAGATTACGCAACTAGGGGCACCAAAAATCCCGCACAAGGTAAGTTGAGGACAAGTCCACAATAATAATTTTTTTTCCAAATTCCTATATTTATAACTTGAACTAACTAAAATATTTTTAGGAAAAATTACAAATATACTGTTATCTATATATAATAGTGAACCCAAAAAAAATGTTGGGTTGTGAATTTTCGTAAAAGACCATTTAGTAGTTATTTTTAGTGCTTATTTTCAAAAGTTGTTTATTTTTGATATAACTATTTTGTCAAAAGTTGCGTCTTCCCGATATAACCGTTTAATCAAGAGTTGCGTCTTTTCGATATAACCGTTTTGTCAAGGGTTGCATCTTTTTTATATAACCGTTTAATCAAGCGTTGTGTCTTTTCGATATAAATGTTTTCTCAGGAGTTTGTGTCTTTCCGATTTAAAAACCGTTTTATGGCTATTTTTCAAGGGTCCCGTCTTTTTAGAAAAAAAAACTTTGCCTATATATTTGTGTTCTTTACTTCTTTTTCCGTTGAACTTTTTGTTAATAGTAGCTACTAATTGTTTAATTCACTTAAAGCATAAGAAAGACAAAGAAACGTCATTCTATTATTTCAAAATTATTTTAAAATATAGATATCTTTACTAATGTAGAAATTCAAAAAATTACTGATTTGTGTAAACAATTTTGGATTTCTATAGACAATACATATTTTAAAATAAGTTTTAAATACCTTGAAATGCAACGCCAATTTTCCATCATAAAAGTAATGAAATTTTCAACTCTATTTTTTTCGAAATAGTTGGTGCATGTAGTGAGTTTTTTAATTTAACAATTATCTATAGAAACTTTGATTCTTTATACGTGAAACAAGTTTTTATGGTTTGCATACAACAAAATATTGAAATCGCGTTAACATTGTTCTAATGGTTAGATAAAGAGGTATGATTCCAATCCATAAACTGCGTGTGGAAAGACATAAGATGCGTTAAAATATTGATGAATTTATTTTCATATTTATAATTGAACCATTTTTTACTTTTTTAATATTTTATAACTCATAAAAAATCAAACACAAAAAATGAAGACAAAATCAAGTTATCCCATGAAGTAAATAAAATCTTATTATATAAAGAAGAATGAGCCCGATAAGTGCTTGATACGTAGGAAAAATTCTTAAGCACTAGATCGTAACATGTGCAATTGTTAATTTATATTGTGAC